TTCAGCAAAACACTGCACATACAATGGCAGCAAACTGTCAGAGGGATAATATTCGGGCAGAGTTGGAAAATCAGATTTCTAGATACAGGAAATCAGTAGTTTTAATAAATCGTGGAACAGTTGTACATTTTCATACATTTATGAATCGGCAGGAATTCTGAGGCGAGAGTAAAAATTACGATAACAAGGGAAATGCCCTTACTCCAGATTCGCCTGAAAATTGGAATTGCAAGAGTTTTTAGAAGAGATCACCAGTAAGTGAAAGGATCGTAGTGTTTTGCGCTGTTGATGGAGTTATCGGAACTCCAAGAATCAAAGCAGGCGTGGAAGCGCAAGATTCGCAAAATTGAATTTGCTGTTACCCCGACAACAACATTCATCTGGCTAAAAGGATTTCGTTTTTTTGTTTTTCGCCCTCTTCAGCCCACCGCAGAGCTCTTCAAAAACATCAAAAATAGTTTCTCTTCATATTTGAAAATATGAGGCCTCCTCACTCTCTCCCTGAACTTGTCAACTGTAGCAGAGTATATATAAAAAACCGTGAGTGATGAGGCCCTAGTGATTGCTAGCCTCAACTGACAAGCTTGCTAGCCGTTTACAGGCCCTAGAACATGATGTCATGTGAAGCAGCACAAAACTTGAATCCAAGCAGAGCGTTTTGTCCTTCACACAGTTACTTGTTTTCCAGAATTCTGCATGAGTTTCACAGGGCTATCAGGGTAGATTTTCAAGATTCCTTGTTGGCCTGCAATCTGTTTCGTGCGTTTCCTGAATTTGCATGAATAGGCCTGTTACACAGCAGCTGTTTTTCCCAGAACATACGAGTAAAAAGAAACACGTACAAACGTAAAATTTACATAGGTGGAGAAAAACAGGGGTAGGTAAATAGGAAAAACATAATGTTTTAGAGGTATGTTCCAGTAAAATTAAAAAGTATAAAATTGAACAGCTGAACAGGAATGTTTGTGAGAGCACAACAGGAATGTTTGGGTGAGTTTCAACTACCAGTGAAGAAGTATTCAGATGCAAAACGGCTGTATGAGGTTCACGAAGTGCATGGAACCAACGCGAGGTGTTAACATGGTGATATGCAATAGTTTAAACCGCAAGCAAATTAGTGCAAAATTTTAAAATATCTTCATCCACATAACATTTAGACCAATCCCTTGTTTCTTATTCTACAATTTAAAAAAAAAAAAGCTAATTTTGGTGCAAGGAGAGCAATCATGCCAGAAAACTTTGGGATGCTTTATCGTGTGGCAACCACTGTACTGTGACAACTACAGTACTTTTGCAGGTCTCAGCGTCGCAGGGAATGCTTTCTTCGGGTCAGCTTCTTTTTTTGTGGCTGACTACTGAGCTAGCAGAATTCCATCACGCAAGTCGGACTCATGAAGCATTTTGCGAGGCATGCACATGTCCGCCGGGTAGCATTTTTTAAAATCTATTAATAGTAAGAGCTTTGGCGATTCAGGAAGGAATTTCATACGCTGTAATCCCGAGACAACCGAGAAAACATTCATCTAGAAAACGTCAAGGTGCACAAGAGCATAGGTGCCTTGTTTCTAGATTTGACGCAGTGGTACCTGTAGTTTAGTTCGGCTGCATTTTTTTTAAAAAAATCATTATATCTAGCCGCGTTGCGAGGATAGACAAATTTTGTAGCGCAACTTTATCCGATTTGATGCCTGGAGCAAGGCACAAGAGAATCTGGCTCGGCTGCGCACATAAAATTACGAATATTTCCCAGTAGAATTTTATACGCTTATTTAATCACTCATATCAAGATCGATCACAGTACCCTTCCATACCGGGAATGTATCAACGGCTCCGGTCTCTGGATCCATGTACGAATAAATTTTATGGTATTTGACCAGGGCTGACAGTGTTGCAAACGTAATTGGCCTCGGATCGCCATACACCACTCGCCATTCCTCCTTTCCGGTCTCTTTGTCTTTCGTGCACACCACAGGAAAGTGGTACACCTGGAATGAAGAAGTGCTAAACAATCCAGGAAAAAAATGCAAAGTGCAGGAGCAAGAGTGAATCAACAAGAGGATTTTGTGATGCATTTTACGAAAAAACATTTTTTAAAACAAAAAAAAAAAAATAATCTGTCTTTGTTACGTCAGTGTTTTAATAACTTTGAAGAGAAGCGGAACCACCTTCTTGGCAGCACTCATGTATGAGAGGTACAGTGGTATCTCGAAAGGAACAGTAGCTTCGCTGGGCGATGGCAATTGATAATAGAGTCGGAAATCGTTCGGACGAAGCATCTTCGAGACATCGTGCACTGTCTGTGCGCCTAAATCATCAAAATTAGAGGCTAATTCGCCTGGTACTTCCTACCTTCAAGATATTCATGTTGTGAGGAAGCTAGGCAAATCCTTCCTTCCCCTCATCATCTTCCATACTCATATTGTGAGACAATCGGACAAAAACTGCAATTTGAAGTTTCATTTTAAAAAAAGGCCATTTTTTTCAAAGAATTTACCGACGAAAAGGTAGTCATCTTCGTCTTCGTTCTCCTCAGTCGTTGCATCTCTCGTGCTACCTGACTGAAATAATCATATAATCCATCAACAGTAGGATTCAGCGCGATTGCGTGCGTTATGAAAACTAGATTGGGTTTTTGCTCTTGGCACAAATACGACACATTTTGATTACTTTCCTCAGTCAAATTCTTGAATTTCTTTCTTTTTTGTTATTCAGCAAACTGTAACCAACTGAACTGCTCTCATTTTTTTCGCAAAGTTTTATTTGTAATTCGACAATTTTTGGTCAACCAAATCAGCAAGTTAGATTTTGAAAAGCTGCTACAAGTGCCATGGCCAGTATTTAAGAAAGAGATGCTTGGAAAAAGTGATTTTTTTACCCACAAGTCTTTTTCTTCAGCACG